AGGCCTGGCCCTGAGTGGAAGAGCAAGGGGGGGAAGTGGGGGAGCGACGTGCGTGCCCCGAGAGCCCACTGCAGAGTGCCGGGGCCCCTGCGCAGCAGCATGCCGCTCCCTCTGTTCGAGCCTGTCCAAGTAAAGGACCGATGCAGGAGGCCGTGTAGAGCGGCCTCCCCAGAGCCCAGGGCCCGCACGCAGCTGTGCCCGTAGCCTTGTGACAGCGCTTTCTAACCAAAGACCCAGGAGCCACTGTCAGGGCCAGCCACCATATGATGACCCTCACTTAGAAGAGCTTGCTGGGACAGTAAATCTGGGTACATAGGACACTTGTTGCTGGGATGCTCAGGGCCTTGGGGAAGCGGGGGCGCCACTCACTGGATTCTTGAGCAGAGACCGGGAAGAGTGAGTCTGCTGAGGTTGAGACACCGCTGCACTTCAGTCCAGGCCCCGGGCCCCCAAGGTCCCCACCCAGGTACAGACCCAGAGGCACCTGTCTGCAGGTATGTGCAGCCCCCAAGCACAGCAGAGGTGCACCTGGGAACTGGAGACTTCCCCCTTTCTGCCGACAGCCGTGGAAACTAGAAAGCCCCCAGGGCTGTCTGAGCGTGTTCCTGATGCCGTCCCCTGCCTACAGGGGAGAAGTGGGCACCAGGCAGTCTCTCCCCGGGGCCGCTGTGCCTCTGACTTCCTGTTTCTCTTTGTGTCCCTGCCTCAGATCTTCTCCCAAGAGTACATCAACCTCCTGCTGTCCATGTACTTCTTCGTGCTGGGGATCCTGGCCCTGTCCCACACCATCAGGTAGGTCAGCAGCCAATGGCTCGGCCCTGCAAACCACGCTCCCAGGGGCCAGCAAGGAGGCTTCACTCAGAGCCAGGCTTGAATGCTGGCCATAGCACCCAAGGGAACCTCTGTCCCCGTGCCGCCGCACCATGGGTGACCGAGGACAGGAGCTGACAGGGAGGGAGGAGAGAGCCCAGCAGGTGGGTCAGGGACCTCGGTTATGGACAGGCAGGGCCGTGCATGTGGTTCCCGGCCAGGGGGGAGCAGGTCCTTGGCACCCACCAGTCCCCGTTGCCTGCCGGGCACCCCCCACGAGGTGCCCTCTGCTCGTGGTCTTCATGAGGAAGGAGAGAGGGGCGGGATCGTGAGGCTGTGGGCTCTGGAGTTTGACTCTGACTCTGGGCTCTGCCCCCTTAAGACCCCGGTGGTCACGGGCAAGTCACTTCATCTCTCCGGCCTCGATTTCCTCGCTGCAGTGGGAAGAGCCTGCGCGGCTGCCCCTCTCGGGAAGCTGGCAGCCTGGTGTCTGGTGTTGGTGACGTGTGCAGGGGCGTGGCTGTTGTTGTGATCGGTGCTGTTGGGTGTGCTAGCCTGCCAGCATCCCTGTTGGGTCAGCTTGTGCTTATAAGCCCATGGTCGGGCCAGCCCCAGAGACTGAAGCCTAGAGAGGTCCGAGACGACGACGTGCTAGGATCGTACTGCCAGTAATCATCGGAGCCAGGATCCCCACTCCGGACTGTCAGGCCCCAAAGCCCATGTTCTTCCCAGGCCTCATCCTCCTGAAGAACCTAGTAGCTCAGTGGGGGGTGCCATCTGGACTGGGGGTGGGGGCTGTTGAATCCTGCAGACCAGTGCTGCGTGGTGCAGTCGGTC